CGCCCGGCTAGTTTTTTGTATTTTTTAGTGGAGACGGGGTTTCACCATGTTAGCCCATGGAGTTACTCTATTTTAAGTAAAATGATCTAATAGTAACAGAAGTATGGGTCCTTCATGCTTTCTTGAAAGTTCCATTAAAATAATGAAGATTTTAATAAACTTTTGAGGAAAATGAATAAAATATCAATACTAAACAAGGCATGATGAATATTTCTTTCTTTCTCATATACCTCTCTTGGCTTTATCATCCGCATACTTTCTTCAATGTTAAGTCCGTGAAGTTGTAGTTGTGACTCAATAGCATACTAAAAAGGAAAGATGATTTATTTATCAAATCAAGCTGAGAGCACAGAAGTACACTGAAATAACAAAGTAAAAATAAAGGCATATTACTATATTAAATCCAAGGTGAAGGTTAAAACACCTAAACAAAATACACAACAGAGAAGAACCACTTAATAAAATTCACATATAGAATTCTGAAAACAGAGGGATCTTCTTGATTTAACAGATTATAAGAGATTTTAGAATAAGAAATTAAATAATCTAAGTCAAAGTCAGAATTTGCAAAATAAGCAAAGTGAATAGTAGCGACTTGTTATGCTTGAACCTAGGATATAGAAATGGCTTACCCTAGGAAGAGTAAGTTAGCTTAAAAAAAGGCATTAAGAAGTTTACTTCATAAAGAGTATCAGACATGTATGCAGATAAGCCACCACACCAACATGGAATATTTTGCGGATATTAGGATTTTGATCCATTTTAGTAAGATATTAGGGTTTTATTCCTTTTGACATAATTACTTGCTCTGAAATTACAAGGGCTAGAATAATAGCAATAATACAGAGAAATAAAGTTTCTCTAACACCAAAACTAAAATATAAAATGTACTTTTGAAATTTATTTATTATTTACTTTATAAAGACGAGTTCTCACTATGTTGCCCAGGTTTGTCTCAAACTGCTGGACTCAAGTGTTCCTCCTGCCTTGGTTTCCTGAAGTGTTGACATCGCAGGCATGAGCCGCTGTGCCTAGACTTACAATGTACTTTTATTTGTGTTTATGTCTGAAACCATTAAATTTCTTATCAAGAACAAACATCTCATCCAGTAAGAAACTACCAAATTTCTTATCAAGTAAAGTAATGTGACTTTTTTTTAGTAAATCACAAGAAATATTTTTAATCTCTAATAAATAATATTTTGATAATAATGGGCCAACATGCTAGCATGATATGAAAAGAAACTGGACAAATAAAAGTTTATATTCCTATTCTATTTAGCTAAAGGGTTAAGCACTGGGGTTTGTATTGATTTGATTTCATAAAATAAAACAGCAACAAGAATTAATAAAACATTTATAACTGTACTTGATTTAGACCAGTGGTTTGCTCAGAGTCTTTAAAAAGACTAATAAATCAATGTTCCTATTCAGTTCTCTCTTCCCTTAACAGGTGTTTTACCTTAACACAAGAAATAAAGCTATAATCTATTAAAAAAATCTCAATCAAAAGCCTTTGACAGATCTTTTTATTGTAAGATTGCTTGGAAAAGCTTAGTGAGTAAACATTCAAGTCAGGCAAATGATACGCTGCTCTAGGAAGAGTAGAAAGAACAGAAATATAATTTGAAGAAGTCCTTACATGATCAGAAGGGAAGGCTTTGGCTTCTAGAAGAATTTTGTATCGTTTTGGCGTAGGCTTAAAAAATGATAACTGCAATAAAATGGATTTATTGAGAAAGCATTAATGCACAATTTATACATTTGTTCATTTTATGCCACACTTTCATTTTATAATCTCCAGTATTTTAAAGACATTAATTAACTCAACATCTTAAGTGTTTGTCAGGGCTACCTTTTCAATTAGCCTGTTTCCAGTGAATTGCAAAGAGAAAGAAGATATTGGCTCAATTTGCTTATCAATGAAACAGCAAACTCGGGGAAAAATGTGAATGAGATAACAAATCCTCAAACTTTACTTATATATTAATAGATGAAACTTAAAGTCTGATGATTAACAACAAAAAAAGATGTTAATTGAAAAATTAGCTTCCCAAAGCATTTCACGGTAATTTTGATGGCATCACACTGAAATATTATGGTCTATGTATGTCTTATTTGTATTGACAGTAGCTCATTTGTTCAGTGAAGCTCTTTCATTTCTCCACACTGTTCCTAGAGAGTGATATTAACAATAATAACAACGAAGATAATAGCTACTATTAACTGGGTGTTGATCATTGGCCAGGGCGCTAAAGCAATTTTCACATATTATTACATTTAATTATCATGCAGATCTTTGAGGTAGATATTATTTTTCTCATTTTTACAAAGGAGAATGTTAAGACTTAGAGATGCCAAAAGCCTTTTTTCAACTTCAAATAGGCATTATGTAATTTAGCTGGGAGTCAAATCCAGGGATATCTGAACTTGTAGACATGTTTCCAAACCATACTTAAAAAATGAAATCAAGATTCTTCAAAGCATTGGGCAATCACCATTAACACAATATCCCAAATAGATAATATATTTGACATTTTAAAGTAAAACTATTTATTAAGATGTAAGAAGTACTTTAAACACATTACTCATTTAAGGTACTAGCCCCCTTTCTAAAAATTTAATTCTCCAAGTCTTTTTTAACCTATATTAATCTACAAAAGTATACTGATCCACTAACTCACTCTGCTGAAGCTATTGGAAAATTGTCTTTCCAAAAAGCTCAGTGCTTTGCTAGCATTGTACATCACTGTTTTGTAGGCTTGCAAGTAGTTTGCCTATTTACTCATTATGGCTCCTATTCTTTATTTTCCCAGACAAGAACTGTTCATTATTCCAAAGCTCTTCTCAAGAGTCAACTCTTCCCTGATCAGGAAGAAGCTATTATATCATGGTCCAACATTTCCTAGTAAAAATGAAAATAACCTCACAATTTATTTTTAAATAAGAAACTCCCAGAAGCTCATGAATTAAAGATAGAAAAACATCAGATTCTGTAAATGAATGTGTTCTAAACATTAGTGGGAGAGAAAACTTACCAATAGAAGATGTAAATTTACAGTCAAAGCATTCATTAGGGCTATTTCTTTCTCATTGGCTCCTGTAAAATAAGCATATCATAATTTAGATGCTTCTATTATGTCTAAAGATACTGAAAAAACAAAGAAGGAAGGCTTCACTCAATCATTCTTAACGTCTTTAGAGATAAGGGCGTATTTGATGTGTCATCACAAAGAAATGGAAGTTTTCCCACTTGACTCATTTTATCAAATGATATCTGGACTTAGATGCACATAGCTAGCTAAAATTATGTTTCTTTTATGATGTAGTAAGTAACAACAAAATAATGAAGCATTTGCTTTTGCCTGTAAACTAAAAAATGATATATTCTATTATCAGCTCAATTGTCAAATTCCCAAGGAGCATATTTTTGTGGTAAGTATATCTTCAAAGGAATCTAAAAAGATATTAAGGCCAATTACATTTTTAAAGTTGGTTGCTTCCAACATCAAATTAAAATGCACCTTTTATAAAAGGAGGTTACTTTGTGAATCATAACTCACTGTTATTACAGTGAAATACATAACAAGACAAAACAGCTGCATAGCAAATTATGACCCAAATAGCTCTGACATTTATTCATACACACTGAGATAAAAGATAATATAGACATGTATTATCTGATGAGAAAATATGCAAAAGTCAGATATCCACTACATAATTATTAATATAATCTGATCTAATTCCTGCTAACAAGGGTTTTGACACTAGAAACAGACCCAGAGACAGGGAATACATTGGTTACTTAAGAATTCAAAGCATAATAACAACAATAATAATACTTCCATGTTTTGAGTTCTTATGATGTTTCTTCAAGGCAATTAGACCTGTGTAATAGAAATTATGTCCCTTTACTGTCACTGAGAAAAATGGGATGTGTACCTTAATGTTTGAAGGCCAAACTAGATGTTAGAGAAAATGTATAATACAAATCCTACATTTTGTATCCAGGGGGATATTTCTGAGAGTCTCATTTTAAAAGAATAGACAGTAAGTAGAATAAATCTAATAGATTCCAGGATAAGTTCACTAGAGGGGAGAAGCCATGTAAATAAGTATATAATTTAAGAATTTATATTTCAACATAGCCATTTAAGGAAGGACCTGTATCTTTATTGCGTCAAGGAAAACTTCTTGTTGCATTTGCCACATAGATTTCTCCATTTGACAGACAAGGTTGATGAACAAGTGGTGGAAGTTAAAAGATGTATCTCTGATTATTGTAAGGTCAATAATATCTAACGTCAAGGGGCAATAAGAAAAATCTCAGTGTATATTCCTAGAACTAAATGAAATTTGTCCTAGATATACTAAATAGATATGAATATAAGCTTATGTTGCATATAGTGACATATACCTTCTTCTTTTCCATGTTTCGAAGAGAAGATTTCTTTGAAATATGGTTTAAAAAATACCACCATCTTCATTATATTTGTTTCTCTACATTATTGTGGAGGCTAAAGCAACTCCATATTGGGTGTTAACCTGCCATGTTGACTTCTGAGTAACCCTTATTCTGGGAATGCCTTTAAGATTTCTATTTAAACTACTGCTCCCATAAATCCTGCTCTTAGGCAGATTCACATAGCATTCTTGCCTTTCCCTGAGAGGTTGACTTCAATTGTTCCACACAATCCCTCCCTGTGTTTTACATGTAAGTTCTACCTCTGGTGGGTAATGGTGTGGCGGGGGGTGGGTGGAGGGGGGGATTCACTATCTAATCTTGCTGTTGCCAGTTGCCGGGACATCATGACTTCTGTTTCTCACTCCCTATTAAATGTTTCTTTCTGAGAAACTGGATTTGTTAGTCTCTTTCTTGGGCCTTTCAGCTACCTCCAATTTGGGGGATAGGTTTGCATAAACTGCCGACCACAGAACAATTATAGTGTGAATTTTTACTGCTATTTCTAAAACAAACACTAAAGTAACTTGGTCTTACTCTTGACTCCCTGTTATTTACACACATCTTTTGGGAAAACCATTTATTTAAAAAAAAATGGCAGGGTGAGTGGAAGGAGGAAAGAAAAAGCAGTAAGAAGAAAAATACAGAATTAGTAGAAAGAGAAGCATTTCAAAGAATAAAGTGAGGAGAAAATTAAAGAAAAATAATTATCACAAATAAAAATGAAGAAATGGAAGAAGCAGGAAGAAGGAGACTTTCTGTAGAAGCTCAGACATTCCTTTTTTGCTTAAATATTATATTCTGATTAAAATGGATATCGTGGTAGACTGAGGCAGGAGGAATGCTTGAACCCAAGTGTTCAAGATGGGCTTGGGCAACACAGCGAGATTCTGTCTCTGCAAACAATTTTTAAAAGCTAGCCAGGTATAGTGGCATGCTCCTATAGTTTCAGCTACTCTGGAGGCTGAGACAGGAAGAGTGCTTGAGGTTTTAGTGAACTATAAATTTTACCACTGCACTCCACACTCTAGCCTGGGTGACAGAGTGAGAACCTGTATCTAAAAAAAGCAAAAACAAAAAAACAAAGAAAGAAATAAGAAAACAAAAAACAGATAAAAAGAAAAAGAAAAACATAAAAGAAAAAAAAATTGGATATAGGCTGGGCGTGATGGCTCACATCTGTAATTCCAACACTTTGGGAGGCTGAGGCAGGCGGATTAGTTTGTTTGAGCTCAGGAGTTCAAGACCAGTCTGGGCTACATGGCGAGACCCTGTCTCTACTAAAAATACCAAAAATAGCTGGACATGGTTGTGCATGCCTGTGGTCCCAGCTACTTGGAAGGCTGAGTTGGAGGATTGCTTGAGCCTGCGGAAGGTCGTGGGGCAGGAGAGGTAGCAGTGCACTGCGGCCTGGGTGACAGAGGTAGATTCTGTCTCAAAAAACAAAAACAAACAAACAAAAAAAGGATATAGATTCCTGGACATTTTGGTTCTCCAAACAATACAATGTTCATTTTGAATCACCTAAAATTTTTCTGGCTTGGGAATGTGATGCACTTACACACATGTTCCCCTCCAGATGTGCTGGGCAGAATTAAACTACACTTACACTTGGTATAGAGCTTCCCCTCATCTCACTTTCAACGGCCTCCTCAAACTTGGACCAATTCTTTGTAAATAATCCCTTCCTGATTTGAATAATTTGTCTGTACACATACACAAACATTATTGTACAATGGACCACTTTAAATTAAATTTAACTGAGCACATCACAAAATGTAATCTTCATCTGCTACTGACCTTTGTCCAAGGACAGGGTTAGTCCAACATGCAAGAATGTGTACACCTATAACCGGGGGTGGTGCAAATAGTAAAGTTTCAAAACATTAACAGAAGTGTTTATTACAAATATTACCTAAAGGTACTAAATATTTTAGCATTCTTAACATCAAAGAGCTACAACAGACTGATTTTTAGTGTACAGGCATACTCTGTTTCATTGCACTTCACTTCATTGTTTTTTGTCTTCTTTTATTTTGTCACTGGGCTGGAGTACAGAGGCATGATCACAGCTCACTGCAAACTCGGCCTCTCAAGATCAAGCAATCCTCCTACCTCAGTTGCACCACGTCCAGCTAATTTTTGGTATTTTGGGTAGAGACAGGGTTTTACAATGTCCAGGCTGGTCTCAAACTCCTGAGCTCAGGCTATCTGCCTGCCTTGGCCTCCCAAAGTGCTGGGGGGATTATAGGCATGGGCCACCACACCTGGCATTTTGTTTGTTTTTAAAACAAACTGTAGGTCTGTGGTAACCCTCCATCAACTGATCTTATCAGTGCCATTTTTCCAAAAGCATGTGCTCACCTCATGTCTCTGTATCACATTTTGATAATTCTTGCAATATTTCAAACTTTATTATTATTTCTGTGATCAATTATATTTGATGTTAATGCTATAATTATTTTGGCATGCCACAAACCACATTCACATAAGACAGAGAACTTAATCAATAAATGTTGTGTGCTCTGACTGCTCCACTGATCAGCTCTTCCCCCATTTCTCTCCCACGTCTCCAGACTCCCTATTCCCTGAGACTTAACACTGAAAATAAGCCAATCAATAACCCCACAATGGCCTTTAAGTGTTCAAGTGAAAGGAAGTGTCACATGCTTCTCTCTTTAAATCAAAAGCTAGAAATGATAAAGCTTAGTGAGGAAAACGTGTCAAAAGCCAAGGTAAGCTGAAAGCTAAGTCTCTTGTGCCAAACAGCCAAGTTGTAAATGCAAAGAAAATGTTCTTGAAAGAAGTTAAAATTGCTACTTAGTGAACACAAGAATGACAGGAAAGACCAACAGCCTTGATATGGTTTGGCTGTGTCCCCACCCAAATCTCATCTTGAATTCCCATGTATTGTGGGAGAGACCTGGTGGGACGTAATCATGGGGGCAGGTCTTTCCTGTGTTGTCCTCGTGATAGTGAACAAGTCTCATGAGATCTGATGGTTTTAAAAATGGGAGTTTCCCTACACAAGCTGTCTCTTTGCCTTCTGCCATCCATGTAAGATGTGACTTGCTCCTCCTTGCCTTCTGCCATGATTGTGAGGCTTCCCCAGCCATGTGGAACTGTGAGTTCTCTGGAAAACCTTTTTCCTTTGTAAATTGCCCAGTCTCAGGTATATCTTTATCGGCAGCATGAAAACAGACTAATACAGTAAATTACTACCAGTAGAATGGGACATTGCTGAAAAGATACCCCAAAACGTGGAAGCAACTTTGGAACTGGGTAACATGCAGAGGTTGGAATGGTTTGGAGGGCTCACAACAAAAGAGGAAAATGTGGGAAAGCTTGGAACTTCCTAGAAACTTGTCAAATGGCTTTGACCAAAATGCTGATAATGATACGGACAATGAAATCCAGGCTGAGGTAGTCTCAGATGGAGATGAGGAGCTTGTTGGTAACTGGAGCAAAGGTGACTTTTGTTATGTTTTAGCAAAGAGACTGGTGGCATTCTGCCCCTGCCCTAGAGATTTGTGGAACTTTGAACTTGAGAGAGATTATTTAGGGTATCTGGCAGAAGAAATTTCTAAGCAGCAAAGCATTCAAGATGTGACTTTGGTACTGTTAGAGGCATTCCATTT